CCCCAAAATACGAATCATCTGGATTGGCAGGGCAATTCATCTGGATTGGCAGGGCAACCCAAGATTTTAAATGATAGAAGGTACGGTTATTAACTAGGAGTTACTATCGCAAGGAAAATGCTGCCTTTTTGCCACATGAACAGAATGCAAACGTTTATACTTCTAGACAATTCTCTAAAGGGAAGTTTACTTTTAACCCAATGGCCTCATTTCCACGTTTCATCATTGGTAGCATGGCAAGCCTGCACATGAAGGTTAATCACCTATGTTTCCTGCACAAATTTGTTTCTCGTTCATCATTTAAGAATTAAGACCAATCACATGAATATCTTCTTAACTCTTCAGAATTTGCTTAGAGCCAATGTGAGTAAAATACTCCTTCTATTCAAGCGCTTTCATGCAGAAAGTTTCGTTTGAATACGGCACAGAATAGAAATATTTATTTTGAATTTTTCAAAATATCGGGGTTTTACTCGCACGCACACGCCAGGTGTATGCTTGGCTATATGTAGCCCGATGCACGTGTAAACCATGCCACTGCAATACTGGGAGTACTTTGACTTGTAGAATCGATTTCCGGTTTTTCCAAACCCTTAGGGCCAAAATGTAAACAGCGCTTTGTTTTGAGAACGTTTCACGGGCCGCGCTAAAAATATAAATACTATTTATTTATTTATTTCTGTAAGTACCGAAATAAAAGGTGAAAATCTGAAGACACAAACTTGAAAATAACACTCTAAATGTTTTGGATTCCAGTTCGAATAAGACTATTACGAAAAAGATATGTCCAAAGGGGCCAAAGTTATGTTCGGCGAAATGTATGGCTATTTTACATTGGGTTAGGGTAAAACGCTGATATGGACGGACGGGCGGGCGGACGGACGGGCGGACGGACGGGCGGACGGACGGGCGGACGGACGGATGACCTATTTTTCTCTAAAATATGTTTTAAACATCATATCCGCGAATGCGAATATGGTGTAAAATATGCTTTCCGGTTCTTTAAAAGGCATATCCGCGTTTTACCCGATCGGGTAAAACGCGGATATCGGGTGTAAAATATACTTTTCGGCTCTTTCAAAGGCATATCCTCGTTTTACTCGATCGGGTAAAACGCGGATATGGTGTAAAATATGCTTTTCGGCTCTTTAAAAGGCATATCCGCGTTTTACCCGATCGGGTAAAACGCGGATATGGTGTAAAATGCTCTCGCGTATTTAGTATAAAATATAATATCTTGCGATGTTTCGCCCCGCTCCTGACACCGTGACAGGTACAAGTGGAGCGAACTTTGAAGTTTGAACAATTGAATTCGCTGCAAACTGTATTTTTTCAGTGTAGTTAATCAGCTCAATGAAATGTCGTTGTTTGTGAGTTTGAAAAATTGTAATCAATCAAAAAATCTTGAAACCATAGATGTTTCAGGTTTATCGCAGTATTCGTATATCGATCACTGGTTGATAAAGATGAAATTGGCGACGGCGGGTTTGCTGTTCATGTTATGTTTATATATACAGCGATGCTCCCGGGTGAACGCCTCCTCCGCAGGCAACTATGATGGTATTCAAAAGGCAAATTTCATGTATAATGTTGTAATAATCAATGCCGACAATACGTTGAATCCCAGCGCCAAAATGCGTATATAATTTATACGACAATACAGAAAAATACAGCCATATTTCAATTACGAAAATTCAAAGCAAACTATGGCCGCAGCCATAATTGAAAGAGCCAAAGAGGGGATTATATAGGGATTCGAAGTTGGGGAAGGCGGAATATGGGGGATATTCCCACTAGCCCATCTTGTGCGGGCATAGTTTGTTTTGAATTTTCGTATAAATTGAAATATGGCTGTATTTTTCTGTGTTGCCGTATAAATTATACGCCTGATTTTGGCACTGGGATTCAACGCATGTCGGCATTGATTATTACAATCATATACATGAATTTTGCCGTTTGAATACCATCATAGTGACCTGCGGAGGAGCCTACGGGTGAACATGAAAATATTGTGTTTAAAAAACTTCTGGACTCGAGTCTTGAAGCAAGAAAATTGCTACCGGTGAGAGAAGCACGACTTATTAATTAAATCATGCAAACATCGTCGAACTTAAAGGAATTTGCCTTGACCGATATCAGCGATATGCACTTCTGATGGAATTCGATTTTAGGCCCATCGGACACGATTTAATTGTAGACAACCTAATATGCGGCGGATATGCCTTTTAATGAGCCGAAAAGTATATTTTACACCATATCCGTGTTTTACCCGATCGGGTAAAACGCGGATATGCCTTTTAAAGAGCCGAAAAGCATATTTTACACCATATCCGCGTTCGCGGATATGATGTTTAAAACATATTTTAGAGAAAAATAGGTCATCCGTCCGTCCGTCCGTCCGTCCGTCCGCCCGTCCGTCCGTCCGTCCGTATCAGCGTTTTACCCTAACCCAATGTAAAATAGCCATACATTTCGCCGAACATAACTTTGGCCCCTTTGGACATATCTTTTTCGTAATAGTCTTATTCGAACCGGAATCCAAAACATTATTTAGAGTGTTATTTTCAAGTTTGTGTCTTCAGATTTTCACCTTTTATTTCGGTACTATGAAATATGGACCTTTATACTTGTATTAAAGATTCGCGTCGTATAACTCATTTTCGCTGGCTTTAAATTCGCGCGATTTAATTTCGCGCACCTTGTTGAGACGTATTCGCACAGCTTTAAATTCGCGCAAGTAATTTTCCGTGTTCGTTCTTTTTCCTTTGTTTTATAGCAATATTCATGAAATAAAGCGTGCGTTCAAAATACCAACAAGAAATAAAACATTTATTGTATATATGGTTCTCATTTGCCTAATACAATAACATTAACAATAACAATTATCTTTACTAGCATTCCCATATATTATAGGTTCAATGGTTCATAAGGCAAAATCATCTCGATAACATGCTATTATATTTTTACTCGTTTTATTATAATTAAGACATTATTGACGAATACGGATCAGTGACAGTGCACATTGCTATAAACATCTAGAATGAGCTCATTGCTATAAAATATGCAGACAACAATCCACACTGGGTTGCTATAGGAATCTTATTTTAATAAGCCTGATTACGTTGACGATGTCATTTCTATTTTGTTTCTTACACAGTAAATGGAGATTGATAAACGACACATCGTTTGTTATATTTTTGTAATATCATGATATTGTTTCAATACCTAGCTGTATTATCGAACACTAAAACAGCAGATATATTGCCTTCATGTATGTCACCAGAAAGAAATAAAGCCATTCGTACCTGATTTATATTTATAATCGAATGTCTCTGCACACTAGATCAGAATAAAGCATCAGGACCTGACAGAATTCCAGCCACACTTTTGAGACAATGTGCTTCCAGTATCTGCCCGTCTCTTTCTGAGCATTGTCTGTTGGTAAATTGCCAAAAGAATGGAAACTGTCCAACATTACGCCAATCCCAAAGAGCGGGTCTTCTAGCAATGTTACCAATTACCGACCTATTTCGCTTCTATCACTTGTATCCAAGGTACTTGAGAGATGTATCTACAACAGGCTTATTGAGCACATTGGAGAAAAATTACATCATCTGCAGTTTGGTTTCTTGAAGGGCAAGTCAACTGCTAGTCAACTCCTGCAGGTGTTACACGACATTGGAAACAAACTAGACAACAAGTGTCAAGTAGACACACTGTACTTGGACTTTGCCAAGGCATTTGACAACTGCTGCTTTTGAAATTGAAACGTTTTGGCATCTCCGGTAATCTCCTATCTTGGCTACGTGATTATCTTTCTGGTCGCTACCAGAGGGTAACGGTTCTCGGCGAGACCTCGAATCCATTACCTGTCCTATCTGGTGTGCCACAGGGATCGATACTCGGACCACTACTTTTCCTGGTTTATGTAAATGATCTTCCCGACTGTGTCTCAAGTTCTTCATCATTGGCAATGTTTGCGGATGACTCTAAATGTTACCATCCCATTAAATGTTCTGAGGACGCCGAAGTCTTGCAGTCTGACATAAATGCTATTGACTCTTGGTGCAAGGAGTGGCAGATGTCTTTAAATCACTCTAAATGTGGTCTTCTTCGCGTTATAAGAAATTCTCAACCGATCCATTACTCTTACAACGTGGAAGGCAACTTACTCACTTAAAACAATCAACAAACAAAAAGATCTTGGTGTTATAGTCTCTAGAGATCTTAAATGGAGTCTCAACGTCCAAGCCGTCTCAAATAAGGCCAACAAAATGTTGGGGTTCGTGAAAAGATCGTGTTTTCATGCAAGTGACCCTAAAGTACGAAAGACCCTGTATTTAGCCCTAGTAAGAAGCCAGCTTGGTTACTGTAGCCAAGTGTGGGCACCCCAAACCACTCATGACATTCAAACCCTGGAACGAGTTCAGCGTCGCAGCACGAAGTTTATTTTATCTCTTCCATTTCAAACAGATATTTCATATCCTAAAAGACTCGCTAAACTCAACATTCTTCCAATTACCTACTGGCATGAATACCTGGATCTTGTTTATCTATTCATGTATTTATGAAAATTCCGACAAAAATGTGAAACTACATTCACCAAATCGTGTAACCAGACGCTCTAGTTCTACATCAGGACTCCTTCTTCAGATTACCAAATCAAAAACAGTAACCTTTCAAAACAGTTTTTATATCAGAGCATGCAGAACGTGGAACACTCTACCAATATCTTTAAGAAACTTAACTTTATTGTCTTCGTTTAAACGTTGTCTATTTAGTTACTATTTTTTATTAACTTCTAATGTTTATAACCCAGAATTGCCGTACACATACAAGACTGTTTGTGTCAAATGTCACAAAGCCCGTCCTTTGGATTCACTCAGCCACTTTGTGCTGCTAGTGCCCTTTCTTTTTTATTTTATGTGATGACTTTTTGTTGTTTTTTGTTGTGATGCACTATTTGGTGTTTAACTCTTTGCATACAATAATATTTCTATGTATTTTACAACTCACGCGGGGAACCCGTTATTGGAGCTTCGGCTCAGTGGGTGCGCCCTTCCTGTTTTTGGGTAAATTAAATAAATATAATAATAAATATAAAATATAAATATAATCGCATATTGCGGTTTCAACGATGATAGACAACCCCCCTTGATACTTCATTAATTTCCGTAACCCCCTTGGATTCGGACATACAACTCGACGAATATCGAGATTCAAGCCACAAGACTACTAAACTGGGGGCGCGGGGACTGGTAACGAAACAACGTGCGTCGAGAATAGTGTGCTGCCTCGCTGGCGCTCGGCAGCAATTAACTTACAGGGCTTTCAGAGGGAATTGAATAGAATTTATAAACCTAAATTTTACAGATATTGGTCCAAAACTAAGGGTTTCACCCGTGTTTTAACAGGAATTTGTACAGAAAATTTTTTTGACGAGTAATTTAACTTGTTCATGTCCGGAAAAATGTTTTCGACCCACCCCCCATTTTTGGGAAAAATAGTGGCCAGAAATAAAATTTTCTGCAGGGCATCATCGGTTTTGGCAGGGCAATTATGGCAGACACCCCCGAATTAAAAGGGGGTAGTTTCGCCCCTGCGTGGCCATTATTATATAGGTTCTTAAATGCGTCCAAATAGAATAATTAATTCATGGAAAAGCACGGTTATTCTTAGAAAGCGTCTGTAAAATATATTTGACGTCAGAGTGATCCAAGCAGGAATGAGTGAATATAAACATGCCATTCTAGTTGTTGCTATGAAAGTGAAAGGCCGGAGTATATTCCTTCATTGCGCACGAAAAATAAGCCGAATTTACTGTGATCTCGCAGCCACTGCCAAAGTTGGAAGTTACCCTCCTTGTAATTAAGGTATCATTGTCATTTGTTTTATACATAAATAAAATTCATGTTAATATATTATACTGACTAGAGAGCAAAACAAGGTGTCAAGCCGTAGAATTCCTTTGTAGCTAATAATTTTAGTCAACATTTTTTATTTGTGCATACTAAATACGAATGCCGTTGGGTTCCATAAATAAGGAATGTAAATTATTTCAGAACTCTTATTATATAGTATTTGTAGTCTGCGTCAATGAATCGCTGATGATTTCTCGTCTCATATGTCGATTTGAAATTGTATTTCAAGACAAGAGATCCTCAGTTATAGCCTATTCCTAGTCTTACTATCCATAGATTGTTCCATATTTCAAATTCTCTAACTCTGGGGGTGCATGTATGTATAACTCCTGCCCCCTCCAAAACAGGCGTTTTCCGGCTCCAAAAGGACCGAAATGAGCAATTAATTCAAGGAAAAGCAATGTAATATATTCGAAGACGAAAGCGTTTTCCAAGTATATGGTGACGTCAGAAAGGTCAGCAGGATTGAGTAATAAACATACTTTGACTTTGCTGTGTAAGTGAAAGGAACATTCGTTCATCATTTAGGAAAATAAACCGAATTTAATGTGATCTCGTGGGCATCACTGAAGTTAAAAGTCGTAGTTCCTTGTAAAGGTATTACTGTCACTCACCTTAATATAAAATTCATGTTGATATATATTACAAAACTAGAGAGCAAAAGCAAGGACGAATTCCTTTGTAGTTTGAAAGAATTTTAATTTAGTCAACATTTTTTATTCGCGCATACCATATGGCATTAATATATACGAATGCCGCCGTGTTCCACAAGTAACGCAAATTCTTTCAGAACTTGTATTATAGTATTTGTAGTCCAAGTCAGTGAATCACTAATGGTTTATGGTTTCATATGTCGA